TGAATCCAATTTTTGAAGTTTAAGTTTCATTTTTCCTATTTGATGATTTCAGTGCTTTCTATATAATGAGAACAAGATTATCAAAAACTTTGGATTCAAATTTTATTTTATTCAGAATTGTACCATGTTTGAAATTGTATCACTTTACTCTAATATTTGTAATATTTATGACAATAAAATAAAAAATTTATAAAATAAGATAGATAATCGATTTTTTTACAAAAGATCTTCCATGCCGGAGACGTCAACTAATTTTTTTCCACGTAAAATATGTCGTAAAACCAATTACGTTCGGCAGATGCCGCTTACACGCAGCAGTTTATCATTTGCCCTGAGGAATTCTTCCGTGCCGTATAACCGGCCTTTTAACTTTAGAGAACCATCCGTGTGCATCCATTAGATTTTTCGTTAGGATCATAAAAGAATCACTAAAATATCTAAAAATCCTTTGCGGACGGTTCGACTGAATCGTTGATGATTTTCAGAAAAATTTAGTCCCTTTTCGAGACCCTTTTACGATTTTGACGAGGCGGAACGACTTAGACGAATTCGAAGTGCTAAAATTGCAAATGGCAACTTGACTCACGCGACACCTACTAAACATAACAGAAAGGGGAGCGCGTGCAAATTTTTAGCGTTATATTATCATATCGTGGGAAAGTTTCAGTTAGAGCTGCGTGACTATTGTCAGCAAATTGAAAGAGGAAACCAATTGGGAATATTATATATTCCGTAATTTGTCTGATTCCATAGCACCGAAAATTTATATATAACTATTTATTTCATGTTTACAATTTTTTATAATTAGATATATGTTCTATTATAAAGCTTACATTTACGTAAACATGAAAATATTAGAGCATAGTATAATAAATACACTATTATAATCTAACAAACGACCTTTAGTCCTTTAGATTCTTGCGTGTTTAGCAAAACAAACTTTTATATAACAGACCTAATAAGGAGAATTGTTAATTCCATGAACGTGTGTTTCGAGAACGACGGGACAAACTCGAAGGGTGTCACGCGTCACGAGATCTGACATAGCATGTATCGTTCTTCGCAGAAAGCGCGATAATGAGGGAGATGACAGAACGTAATGGATGCCGCCAAACGACTGCATCTGCAAAACTAAGAAACTTATTTGATGTGCGTAATAACGCAATCCTGCGAACATGCTTATAATAGTTATAATTATCAGTAGTTATGCGACATCTTTTTCATAATTTTAATATTAATCTGTTATTATATTTAAAAATAATTTTGACAGAAATATTATGTATTTATTGTTCTTAACATCAATTTTATATAAATATTACAATTGTAATATTGTATATTAAGACCAATTAATACATTATTGTTCGAACGTTTTATGCAAACATTAACGTCTATGGCCGACTATTTTTTTTTATAAAATTTCATTTATAATGTACAAAATATCAGAAAAAAACAAACCACGATAAAAAATTAAGACTAAACACAATCACTAATTTTATAATGAAACATTAAGACCCCCGATATTTATAGTCTCTTCTTATATTTAAGATCGCTTTAAGTACAGTTAAGATATCATAAATCAATTCAAACAGAATCATATTGACATCTCTTTAAGGTCTTGAAATAAGAATATGAAGATTATGAATAATAATTTTATACTCTAACAATCTTGCACAATGATTTAAACCAGGCTTGTTGAAAACTTAAAGAGCTAAACGCTTCCATTTCTCCATTGTCTCGTTGAGTGAGATAAATAGAAAACAAAAAAGATAGAACAGGCAATCATTTGATAGAGAGAACTCTAGCATCTATTCTTTTTGTTTTCCTTTCGTTTCGCTCAACGAGATAACAGAGAGAGGGAAACGTTCAGTTTTCAAGTTTTGGACAGGTCTGATTTAATATATATATTTCTTTAGAAAGAACAACTCACACAGTGAACTTGTTTCAGTTTTGAATGAATGTTTAACGTTCGATTGTAACGTTCAGTCAACAAAATACTAACTGACATCTACGTTCAATAATGTGTTAATTGTGTAATTAATTGTGTAATTGAGATAAACGAAGTATGCGATTGTCATCAAAGAAATATAAAAATATAATAATATAAAAACATAGTACGGGTTAAACCTCGATCTCGTCGATGGCACATCGAACTATCCTCTCAAAGTAAAATAAAACGGACGAATGGACAGAAACTAACAAAGGTGTAGAGCTAGCTGACAAAAAATTCGCGGTTGGACCGGCCTCTCGGAAATGCCGAACCGGTCGTAAACAGAAGGGCTCGCGCCCCTTCGCGAATGATGCTCCTCGTAGAAGTATCACAACGAAAAGAGCGGACCAAGTTCGAGCCAAAAAAGAAAGAAAAAGAAACGATTGGTAAATAGAAGTGAGGTATGAGGCGAGAACGGGATCCGATAGGATTTGACCGGTGGTAGCGAGCGGGATGGGGTGAAGGACACCGACCTGTGTTTTACTTTATAGCATTTAGGCCGTTGTTTGTCTTATTGCTATTAGTCTCCGTCAATTAGTAATTGCATTTTTAATGTCGATTCTGTGAATCGGGTCCACCGACCTGACACAGTGAGCCGCACGGGGGCCTCAACCTTGGTGGTTCGCGAGCGGGCCCGGGCGAATGGCTTAGTGGAGAGAAATTGTGTTCTTTCCTTGTATCGGTAGGTACTGTCAGGTACGGACGCTGCTGTCAGGAGGGGGGCATGTCATTAGGAGTCATTAATATCGCGGACCTCTGTAATTTGACACACTTCCGATCGCCTAGCGCCACCACCACCACCGCCACCCGCTTCATTTTTCTCCTTTGCCTCCACGTCTTCCAAACGCGACCATTCGTCCCGCAGCCACTTCATCGACTCCTCCTTGTCTTCCTTTTTGCGCTTCCTTGTGAATCATCATGTCAGGAATGATGAAACTGCCGACGAAACTGCCGTCGTATGCTCCGTGGCATGTTATTCGTGTCATTTCGCGTGATAGTCAGGGGTTCTCACGAAAGAAATAATCGCATGTTTGTCTTAGATTTTGTCGAATTTCGAAGAGATGTCGCGAGAGTTTAAAATATATATACACGGAAAGAACGGTTTTACTGAAGTACTTAAAAGTTTAGCAAAATACATATCTGAAAATGATATTGGACTATTAAAATTATGTAGAATTTAAACGTTGATGACTATACTGCAAAAAGTTTTTGCATTCTAGCAATCAGTTTAAGCATTCTACATAATTATTATAAATAAAATTATTTTCAGATACTTATATCTAGTTAAATTTTCAACAGTCAAATGCTTCAACAAAGCTATTCTTTCCGAATTTAGAACATAATTTTTAGAATATAATTAATATATAATATATTATAATATTTAAATCTAATTATTGATAAAAATAAATTTATAATGACAATATTTTAATTACGCTATTAAGAATTCTTCAAATGAACGATACATCAATATTAATTAATCTAAAAAATAGTTTGTCGCTTGTTGCATGCTTGATTATCGATGTTAGATCGTTTATGCGCTTATATTATACTTGAGACGCAATTACCTCTTATTAAGCCGTCAAAGCGAACCGAGACTTAGTGCTCGAAGCTGATACATGTCCGATTATGAAATCGTACTCGAGCGGATGCAATCGCTTGGTAATGCAGCCGCGATTAATATGATCCGCGGATGCTAATCGAGATTCTAATCGTTTATTCTCGCATCGTACCCGCACACCTGTTCGACCGATATGGCTAGACCAGGGATTCTTTTAACGCAGACTTCTCCGAGATCTTTCGAGCAGTCATGTTACTCATCATACTTTCTAATGTTGCTAGTACAAGCTTTTTATTTTCATAACAAAATGATGTCAGCTGCCATTAATTACAAGTAAAAAAAATCATAAATGTCACTTTAAACTATGAAATCAAAGAGAGAGAAAACAGTCACAATACTTATTTTATTCGATTTGTTATTTGTGATCTCACAATATTGCTTTTTTGTGAATGATAAAAGAAAAACATTGGATTTTGCATTTTTTCTAAATATTCTTTTATGATTTTTTTCAATTGCATCTTAAACCTTATGAAAATAGTAATATATATATTTTTCAATTAAAGCACGTTAAATATTGTATTAATAGTCGTTTCTTACAAATAATTCAACATTACAGTCGTCGTTTTTATATTCTGTAATTGTAAGAATGATCAATCGAAGATCGCTAGCTTCACATTTGAAGAATCATCTTTGCGTTCGCATCACGAATCAAAGCAAACGACAAAAGTCGATGACGATGGAAATCCTGAAGAGCTAGACGAGGATCGATTTCGCTTGGCATGCAAACGATTCCTGCGATAAACTTGCCTGAAGACTGTTCATTCATGCAAGCACGGATGATAGTACATCTTCTTGGTGACTTTCTTATTCAAATCGTTCGTCGGGCCAAGGCTCGACCGTGGAAAATCGCTTTTGAATGTTAAAATATTTTTCCGACTTCTACGAAGGAAGTTCTATTCTTCACACCTTGGCCCAAAATCACCAATTGT